CAGGCAGCACATAGGCAGGAAACAGGAAGGAGTTGAACTCCAGCTCTCCTACACAAAAGAAAGGGAGAGCGACACAAGGAGTCGGACAGAAAGGACAGAAAGGAGTTACGACACAGCTTCAGAGCTTACAGAGCCCTGAGATTTCCAAAGAACGGTGCCAGGGTAACTCTCACCATTCCCATGCAGGGGTCTTCCCAGACACTTCAGCTGCTGACTTCCACTTCCTCTGTCATGTGTAGAAAGTCCAGGTGACAAATGCTCATTTCGTCTGGGTAATGCTTCCATGGTCATGACTGAAAAAAAAAAAAAGAAGAAGCATGCAACCCCGTAAAATGTACCTTTCTGCTCTTTCTGTCAGCACGACAACTAAGATAAGCATTACACGTCCCTGCTACTGACTGAAAATTCATCCAAGTCTATGTTCCACACAGCTTCATCTCAGTGCAAAAAAGAAACACGTAAACAGATGTTCAGAGGATTCTTTGTGCAGATAAAAGTGCAGGGTGCATATGTATTCTCTTCAGTAATAAATATTAGTTTAGAATCCAAAGGTAACTTTTCAAGAAGCAGTATGAAAGAAAGGTCAGTCAAAAGGAAATACGTGATTTTCATCTATTTTCATCTAAAAAATCCTTGCTAAACCTCTTCCCATCAAAAAGGAAGCATGCTGGGCATTGTTAGCAGCAGCTCAGAGGACATCTTGCACCACAGAATGCAGCACGTGCTTTTTGCTCACAGGCCCCTCATGTCTCTAATTTGTGTCAGATTCACTCAAAATGACCACGTGGACCAGAACAGCCATTTGGTTCTGCTGAGGTAGGAACCCACTGCTGGGATGTCCCACAGTCCCGTTTCCCCGCTATTTCCAGCACTGGGGGGAAAAGGAAGAGCAACTGACTTCACCTACCCAGACTTCTGCATGGTCTCACATCACACAGAGAAGCATGGTGGAGAGCTCTGGTGGCTGAAGAAATCAAGGTTGCCTCTAAGATCCTGCTTTAAATCCACATGACTTACTGCCCATAAGACGTGAAAGACAAGGTTAAGGTTAAAAAGCCTCCAATCCCTGTGGATGTGGCTGCCTGCAAAGACAACAGTTGCCTGCTCTCCAGCAGGGTGATGCTCACCCAGCAAAGCACTCACCAGCACATATCTTTTATAGAAACATAGAATTAGCAAGCTTGGAAAAGATCTTCAAGATCATCCAGTCCAACCATTCACCTTCCACCAACATTTCCCACTAAGCCACGTCCCTCACGACAACATCTAATGTTTCTTGAACACCTACAGGGATGGTAACTCTATCACCTATCTGGGCAGCCCATTCCAGCGTCTGACCACCCCTGTGGAGAAGTTTTTCTTAACATCCAACCTCAATCTCCCCTCATGCAACTTCAGGCCACTCCCTCCAGTCCTATTACCACTTACACGGGAGAGGAGGACAACGCCCACCTCAACATAACCTCTCTTCAGCTAGTTGTAGAGAGTGAGGAGGTCTTCCCTGCGCCTCCTCTTCTCCAGACTAAATAATCACAGTTCCCTCAGCCGCTCCCCATAAGACTTGTGCTCTAGATGCCCCGCAGCTTCATTGCTCTTCTCTGGACACATTTAAGGCTTTCACTGTCCTTCCTGTAGTGAGGCACCCAGAACTGAACAAAGTACTCAAGGTGAGGACTCACCAGTGCTGAGCACAGGAGGATGATCGCTTCCCTGCTCCTGCTGGCTCCAGTTCTTTGCATTGCACTTCCAATCTAAACCGTTCCTTCTGCAGTAGCGCTTGCATCCTCAGTTAGGGCTGGAGCTCAAGAGGTCAACACAACAGAAAGAACACAACGTGCAACTGGAAGACATGACTCAAAGCTCACAAGAGTCAACTCTCTGACCTTGGGCACAACTCACAAACCATGAGCCAGGCCTTGCCAACTTGGCAGATCTGAGCATGCCAGAGGGGATCAGATCACAAAGTGTCCATTTCAATTCCAGCTTCATGTAGGAAAGAAAACCAGCTAGCAGGCGTGAATGAATTCACTCACAAGCTGCACAATGAGTCTGTTCTTCATTAAAAAAACCACATGGATTC